CGCAGTACAGTTCAACAAACTGCGAGGCGTTGTGCTAACGATTACTGACTCCGACTCTGTTCCAGCATCCAGACTGCGGCCACTGTTGGCAACATAAGAGGCATGTACGAAGGGATCAAACAGGCAACAGGCCCTACACAAAACAGGACGGCTACGCTACAGCCAGCCACTGGACAGATCATTACAGACCGTGGATCAGCAGATGAATCACTGGGTGGAACATTACTCCGAACTCTACTCCAGAGAGAACTTGGTCAGCGTAGAGGCTTTGGATGCAATCGAGTGCCTACCCATCATGGAAGAACTTGACCTTGCACCAACTACGGAAGAAGTTGAGAAAGCACAGGATTCACCTTTTTCAGGGAAGGCTCCAGGAGCCAGATTCACGAAGCAGTTATGCAAGCACTTACGAACGTGTACATCTTTCCTCAATCTCTGACGGCTTTGGTTACATTGATTAAACAGTTTACAAGCATGAAACTTACCAATCAACTGTGTGTATTGTTATAAACAGCCTCCTAGTGCTTCGGAGCTCATTAACTGTTTAATAATTGTAAACAAAGCCGCCAAAGATTGAGAAAAGATGTACAGGTTCGTAAGTGCTTGCAAAACTGCTTCGTGAATCTAGCCCCAGGAGACGACGGCATTCCGCCTGAAGTTCTCAAGCGCGCTCGAGGAAATCTTAAAACTGAGCTTCATGAACTTCTGTGCCAGTGCTGGAGGGAGGACTCGGTGCCACAAGACATGAGAGATGCGATCATCGTCACTCTCTACAAAAATAAAGGTGACAGAAGCGATGTCAACAAATATCGTGGCATCTCCCTCCTCAGTGTCGTTGGCAAACTCTTCGCCAGGGTCGTCTTGGTTAGGCTTCAGATTCTTGCTGAAAGAGTGTACCCCGAGTCACAGTGCGGTTTCAGAGCCGAAAGGTCGACCACTGACATGGTGTTCTCCCTGAGACAGCTTCAAGAAAAGTGCAGAGAGCAGAGAAAAGCCCCGTATATCGCCTTCATTGACCTTACAAAGACCTTCGACCTCGTGAGTAGGGACGGACTCTTCGAGATCTTGGCCAAAATTGGCTGCGCAAACAATCGTTCCACGAGGACATGTAGGGCACGGTCGTGTATGACGGCTCAACTTCTGAACCATTCAACATCAACAGTGGTATTAAACAGAGGTGCATACTGACTCCAACCCTGTTGGGCATCATCATCGCAATCCTCGCCAAGAATGCCTTTGAAACAACCACAGAGGGCATCTATCTCCGTCCAAGATCTGATGAATATAGCTCTTCATTCTATCCAGACTCTGAGCAAAGACGAAAGTACATATGAGAGTCTTCAGGGACTTTCTCGCCGACGACGCAGATCACCCCACACACAGCAGAAGGCCTGCAGCAGCTACTCAACTGCTTTACTGCAGCCTGCTCCGCATTCGGCCTGACAATTAGCCTGAAAAAGACACAGGTGATGGGACAAGACGTCAATGAGTTACCCTGTATAAACATCGCAGACTGGATGCGCTGGAGGCGGTTCACGAGATTCTGTACCTGGTTCCACAATCTCAGACACCCTTTCCCTGGACACTGAGTTCAACAGGCGTATCAGGAAGGCCACAACAACACTAGCCAGGCTCACAAAGAGCGTTTGGGCAAATATCACACTAACAGTACACACCAAGGCACAAGTCTACATGGCATATGTGGTGAGTATGACCACACATGCAATGTAGACTTGCCATAAAGAAGTCACAAACTTGCCATAAAGCAGCATGACGGATGCTTTTTTATGGCTCAGAATCCTGGACCCTGCGCTCTCGCCAGGAGACACGGCTCAATACCTTTCACATGCGGAACCTGAGACGCATCGTTGACATTACGTGGAGAAACCACGTCACCAACAACACAGTATTCTAAAGAACAGGAGTCCTTCAATGTTTACCCTTGAAGCAGAGACGCATGCGATGGCTGGGACATGTCTCACGCATGGAAGATGGCCGCATTCTCTTATATGGAGAACTGGCATCAGGAAAGAGGCCCACTGGAAGACCTGAACCGAGTTTTAAAGACGCCTGCAAACGCGACCTCAAGCAGCTGAACATAGACATCAACACTTGGGAGGCAACATCTGTAGACAGATCTGCTTGGAGATGCAAAGTGCATAGGGACTCCAGCAATTCGAGGGCGAACTGAAGAGGCAGGTGGAGGAAGAGACTTCAGAGGAAGTCTCGACCACTGACGGACGCAGCCGCTTTGGCGTTTATCTGCGTTCGCTGCTGTCGGGACTGCCATTCTCGGGTCGGACTTCACAGCCACAGCAGATGCTGCACCCAACCAGACACCCAGGGCAAAACTCCATAATCCCATGGGACTGATGGATGCCTACTAGTATTAATTTTTGATACTGATAGTAATACTTCCCCCCCCCCCCTACCCAAAAAAAGTATTGTTGGACAATAGTGAAGCTAACAGATATTGGCAAGAGGCAATGTATTTATAAGA